CCATGTCTTGTTTTCTTGACTCCCCTCCCCACATCTGTCTGATAAATCAGGTTGCATGATGATCTAAGGTACAAATCAACGTTTCAGACATTTTTCTATTTGAGTTGGTCTCTGCTGATTTTAGAATTGTTGTTGGTCGATGAGAGGATTGAAAATATGTAATCAAACTCTCGAAATCTATATATATAATTAGAGAGTCTTCTCTCCATCTAAGGTGTCCACCTAAGCATCCACCTAAGCAATAATATTTATTTTACATTAAAATCAATTTAAAACATCCATTTAATGCATTTACTTGTAATTAATAGAAATAATAAATTTTAAATAAATAAAAAACGAATTATGTAAAATAAATAAAATGTTAAAATAATAAAATAATACTATAAAAATTTTATAAGTAAGACTAATATAATTCAACTTTTAAATGATAAAAATTAAATATGGTTAGTATTCAAAATTTTAAATGTGTTAATGAGTTTTAGGATGGAAGTAACTTTATGTAATTCTATATGTGAAACTTTAAAGGGAGACTCACAAAAATGCCCCTTTTTCAATACCCCTTTTCAAAAATGCCCCTTTTGGATGTCCATTTTTAAAAATACCCCTTTTATGTACAAAATGACTAAATTACCCTTCTTTTAATAAAAGATATTATAAATATATAAGGAAATATAACAAAATTAGGTCCACAAAATACAAAATATTTTTTTGGCGGGAAAAGTGATCCCCCAATTTTTCCCGCCAAAACACTTGTAAAAATTTGTAAAACCTTTAAAATACCTTGTAAAATTTTCCCGTAAAATTTTTTCCCGCCAAAAAATTTTCCCGCCAAAAAATTTTTTTTGCGGGAAAAGTAATTCCGCAATTTTTTTGGCGTTAATTTTTGGCGGGAAAATTTTTCCCGCCAAAAATTTACAAGGTGTTTTAAAGGTTTTTTACAAGGTATTTATAAGGTTTTACAATGTATTTTAAAAGGTTTTACAACGTATTTACAAGGTATTTATAAGATATTATAAGATTTTACAAGCTTTTTTATAAGGTTTTTACAAGTTATAAGTTTTTACAAGTTTTTATAAGGTT